CAAGAGCTGAAATGATTAGTGTTTCTATTCGTCCTTATTATGGAGAGACTGCTACTATCATAAAAGAAAATACTGCTTTACTCCAAGATATTCCTATTACATCGCGTCTTGGTTTTGCTGACGTCGTGTTTCCTGGTGATACACGAAATGAAATTTACCTTAGGTTTTTGTCAGGTGATTTCACCCAAGGCCGAGCTGCTACTTCAAGAAATATACAAATTACTGTAGAAGTCAAATTAGACACAGGTGAAACGTTAGAAAATGCAATTTCTCAGGGTTCTGGTGAACCTAGAGTAACGCATTTCGACTCTCTTGTTTTCTATCATTCTAATAATCCTACATGGGGTGAATTAATTAAACTGAATATTCCCATAGAATTATTTGAACATGCACATATATTTATGACTTTTCGTCATCGTTCGACGAAAGATAAGAAAGAGGATAAAATTTTTGCTTTTGCTTATATGCCTTTGTTTCAAGAAAATCAAGCGTTCATAAGCGATGGAAAACATACTGTTATTTTATATAAATATGATAAGCAAACAGTAACCCCTTCAATATATTTAAATGCACCATGGTCACCTTTTGCTACAGCTTCAGATACAGCTTCGGTACATTCGGCCTCAACCTCTTATTCAACGCACAAATTGACACCTTCTTCCAAAGATGTTATTTCAATTATGACATTCTTATGTTCGACAAAGTATACACAAAATGAAGTCCTTCTTAAATTACTGAATTGGGAAAAGCAATTAATGTCAGATATGAGTGAAATGATATCTGTCTTGAAAAAATTCACTTTTGTTGGAGAGGTTGAAATAGTAAAGTTTCTTCAGGATATTTTCGATGCACTATTTGGAATTTTAGTTTCATCAATAAATCAGCAAGGTGATCTTGATGACTTGATATTTAATGCTTTAGTAACCATTCTTGGAATTGTTTCTGATCGAAGATTTATGAACTTCAGACCTGTGCTTGATGTATATATTGAGAAACATTTTTCTTGTGCAGCTGCTTCGTCAAGTCTAATTCGATCAATGAATCGTCTCATTTCTGAACCTGCGACTCCAGAGAATGCTCAAGATTTACGATCTGCTATAAAAGTCTGGCAATATATTTTTAAAATAATATTACGGTCTAGAGAATTGCAACGGACAAAGGAAACAAATATGGGATTATCAGGTGACTATGTTGAAGAACAGTTCAAAAAAGGTTTATATGACCTTTTCAAGAGCATAGATAGACTTATGTCCATCACAACTCCACAGTCAATAATTGGTACACAAACATTAGCTCTGCAACATTTTGCTTCTATATTCGCGGATCTTGGAAAATGTTTCGAACCCGGAGATCTCGCACAAATAGCTATCCGTTTCACTGAATCTGTGAGATTGCCGAAAGGAAAACTCTTGGCATATAAATTATTGGTTATTCTTCAATTTTGTCGTGGTCCTTTGTTCGAAAATGCAGAATCTCGTGCGACACTTTTGCGTAGAGTCGTAGAATGGGTTACGGATCACATGGGAAAATGGGAAAAAACGGGAAAAATAAATGAAGATAGTGAAGCTGCACGAATGCAATGGCAAGATGGAATTCGATTGTGTGTAGCCATTGTTGCGGTTATGCTCGAAAGTCTACAATGCTCTATTGAAAAAGCTAAGGAAAACGAAAACATACAGAAAGAAATTGAAAATGTACGTGTGATCCTCCCTCTAATGATGAAACTTTGTGAATCTTATAGAGAATTGTATTATACCAGTAATGAGGTTCATCGGCCAAGAGAGAGAAGTGGAAGTGGAATAGTAGTCTCACCAGCCATATTTAACTTAGCATATCCATTTTCTAGTGTAAATCCGACTCCTGCAACTAGTTCAAACAAATTTTCAAAAGATTTTCAATTTAGTCCACAACATAATCTACAAAGCTCAATTTATACCGGATTGGGAGAAATAGCTGCGGTAATACTGCAGATTATGTATCTATTATCGCAAGATCATTTGAAAGAACACCTGCTCTCAACGTATTACAGAGAGGGTCATGATGCCACTGCAGAATTTTTAATCTTATTATTCCAAGTTTGTAGATCCGTTTTAATAAATGAAGCTTTCCCAGAATCTTGGTTGAACATGAATATTATGGCCCTTAAAGTGTTTTTAAAATTTCTCGAACCAATATCTTCTTTGTTGGAGAAAAATTATATTCCCGACAAAGAAGCACCAGATACATTTAATGAACAATTGTGGCGAGAATATTTCAATTGCTTATTAAGTTTGCTTACCAGTAAACACTTAGTAATTGAAAATTTTACCCCACAGAAACGTCGTGCAGTATGGAGACTTGCTAGAGATCTTCGTGGACAAGGCGCCAAATTATTATCAACTTTGTGGGATGCCATAGGATGGGAACATGGAAAAGAGGGTAAAATGGGTGGTTATCAAAGTCGGTTCATTAA